AGAGCTGGCTGTTGGGTAAAACAAATGCAGCGTGCACGTAGGATCCTGCTGAACTTGATCTCGGGGTCTCCAGTGATGTATCACACCTACATACACACATACGGAGCAGTTCTTGGTCTGAACTGAAACATCCACTCTAAGCATATTGATCTGGATCTTTCCAGCTCAACCTGCCACTGCTAAATGCCCACACAGTGCAAGGGTTTTCTAGAGTGGAAAAGGAGAGAACAGGGAGGGAAGACATTCATCCCTGGTTACAGGAAAAAGCCGTCACACAACACAAAGGTATCATTCATTACCAGTGAAACTCTGTCTTTTATTTTAAGCCCTTCATTAATCTTGAAGAGCAGGTTTTACCATACACTTTTCTCTCCCTCATCACTCCCTCATGGTCCTAGGCCCAGCAAATCAATAGTGGCGATTGTCCTTTGAACATCTTGAGACTACCCAGACATACAGAGCTGCCATTAGCTAGTATTTCACTACAGCATATAGTTTGGCCTCGTTTGTAACCCAGGCCCCCAGCCTGTTAACCCTTGCACTTTCCTCTTGGTGCTGACTCCACCCAAGGCCTGAATGGCTCCCTTATGTGGAGTCAGTGTTTCTGCTGTATCCTCTCCTTTAAGCTGACGTGCATAGAGCACTCTGCTTGTGCTGCTCCCCCAGCTATAGCCCTCTGCCAGGCATAACTGTTAGCTAATCAGCGTTATTGTCCTAGTGAATCACCCCCAGGGTGAAAGGCTAACAACTCTCCTGCAGGTTTGCAAAGAGAGGGGGTGGAGGGGTAACTAATTGCCGGGCTGGTAAAATGGGAAACATGCCCTCAGGTACTGTACACACAGAGCATTTAGTCTTCCAGCAAACAATGGCTAAGGAGGGGGAATGAGGGAACCAGACTGGAAATTACATGCTTCCAAAACCCTTGTTAGAAAATTAAAGCCACGTAGGAATTGTACAGCACTCGGCTCTACGATTAGGCTGCAGCAGGAGGAGCAGGCAGAGCTGAGAACTTCCCACCTCAGAACTCATCGTCCTTGACCCTCTCTGCTAGAGCAATGGCCGAGCGCCGCGGGTACGGATCCCGGGGCATTTCTTCCTACTCGGAAGCACACCGCTACTTCACCTCATTTTTGAAAGAGAACCTTTTTCTCTCCTGATAGGAACCAAACCCCTTCCGAGCCCGTTTGATGGCTCCACAGGCAGCGGCAGCAAGTACAGCCACTAGATGGCACGAGTCAGAGCCGAACCTGTCCCGTGAGGAATCCTGGCCTTCGCTGCGGGCACATTCCTCCTCCTGACCTCTCGTGTTTTGCAACCGCAGGTGAACGCCCCCAGCACTTGCTTTCCTTTTCTCATCGGTAAAGCAGAGATGTGATGTGGCCAAGTATAATAGAGTTTATCTTCACAAACTGCTGGGATACCCTTGGATGAAGAGCCCTGTGTTAAACTGACAAAAATGTAATTAATAATAAAGAAGTGCCATAACCGTCACAGAAAATACGCTCTTATTTTTGGTGTGGGATGTAGCCAGTTGCTGAAATGCAACTAATTGCATTGCTCAACTTCCAGCTGTGCCCGGTGCTCCAAGCAGTTGCATGCTGTAGCATAAGGCTTCCCCTGGGAGGAAAATGTCCTGTGGTAAGAGAAGCACAAGAAATCCTGGACAGAAGGAGAGTGATGATTGGAGACTGACTGCTTGGAGGACAAAATGGGAGGATAAAGTTAGGAAAAATAGGATACTTGTGTTCGTGAGGGAGGCAAACAGAAGGATCACAGGGGAGTTATAGCCCAGGTCATAATTCCACTTCCTCCCTCCCAGAGAGGACTGGAAAAAGCAGCATTGCAGGAGACCCGAAGTACCTACTCTCTGTGATGTAACTGAATTGGCTTCTGGAGGATCAGATGAGCATCAGAGCTGGCACAAGACAAGGGGCAGGCACAGGGATGGTAGCTTGTAGCTTGTCTTGCCAGCAGCAAGCTGCTAGATCATCCTAGCTGTATTGCCCAACTGCAACCCAAGGCACAAGTGGAACCTTTGAATCTAATATAAATGTAATATTTGTATTGTCTTACGTCACCTCCATTTGCTGAGGAGAAATTTGTGAAAATTGCTCTTCAAGGATCAGGTTAGCAGAATAAGGGTAGGAGTAATGACAGATTTACTTGTAGATGCATCATGACTTCAGAGCTTTGTTCCTTTCAGCTTTGCAGGGCTGGGAGCAGAAGCTTTCTGCCAGCTGGAAGGGATGATTCCCAGCTTTCTCATGGAAAGCGTCAGGTGTTGGAACATGCTGCCTGTAAAAGCTATGACTTTAATACATTAAAGCAGTCTATTTACAGTTATTTTAAAGTGGAGCTTACATTCCTGTGCTCTGTAAAGTTGGAACTAAGGCACCTGATATGGATAAATAATTTGGTCCAATGCAGTCTAAAAATGTTCTATTTTTAAAACAATCTGGTTTCTGATACATTAATAGTTCAGCCAAGTTTCAGACTCTAATGTGTTCCCTAAAGAGTCTACCAAGCAAGTCTGTCTCCTAATCAAGATGCCTACCTGACTCGTAGATACTATCTTCTCACAGGAACACAGGTACGACTTTAGTTTTCTTTAGACCTTTTGCTCTTCAGCAGAACACCAAGTATTTTTAAGCAAAACAAACAAGCACACATGTTCCCCAATTTATCTCAAGATCACCTGCTGGAGGAAACCTCTAAATTTGAACTGTTGTCATGAGTATAAAGGTTGTATTCCCTTCTGTGGTCTATGTATACCAGTTTTTGACACCGAAACTGCCACCTGTCAAAACTCAAACTCCCTCTCATCCTTTTTTTCCCTTCACGGCTTCTGTCTACCCCAGTCCCTCTTCTTCCCTCTCAAGCCTTTTCTACACTTGCTGACCACCAAGCAAGTATTTTATTCAGGCTGCCGAACTGTCCTTTTAACCCCTCTGCACCAACTCATATGCCCTAAACCGACAAACTCCAGATTGGGTTTGCTCCAAGTTGAGGTCAGACATGACCAACTTAGAGTGGCACAATGAGTTATCCTTCATCAAAGCAATTAATTAAGTGTACGCAATTGTAGCTCATTTTACATGTCAGGTAATGTCAAAACTTTAAACCCCAATGAAAAACATAGTTTTCATTTCCAACTCTACCGTGTGCCAAACAGGGCTGTGCTGCTCTGAAACCTGCTCAAAATTGTTAGGACTTCCTGATACGATAGTCTTGAAGTTTGGTTTGGCGTGTTTTTTTTTTTTTTCCCCTAAAGGCAAAAAAAATCCAGTCTGCTATTCATGGTCTGTCCTCTTTAAGAAAAAAATCAATGTGGTAACACAGCAGGAAATGAGGGGGGAGGAAATCAGACCACCCTTCCGCCTTCTCCCCCACATACATTTTAAGGGCTTAAGTTTTGACACGGAAAAAGCCATGGAAAAAAGCCATGTGCACAATAAATAAAAATTTGGGCTTCAAAATCCCTTATTTCTCCAGGCACCGAAATTAATATCCCGAAAGAAACAACTAAGAGCTGAGTAACCAGGGACTCAACCTGTCCTTTAGGAAAACTGTTTGTAGCTGCTAAAGATTCCTATCCTTGCCCTTCAAATAAATACTCAGAAAGCTACCAAGTTCGCATCTACCATAAACAGATCCTTCCCCAGAGAAAGACCAGATTTAATATTCTTAGTATTTCAAAAGCTCACCTTTTCCTCACCTAAACACCTTTATATATCTTAGGGAAACAAAGAACCACTGCTTGCCAGCTTGAAAAATGTAAAAAAAAATTAGTGGGAGGTCCGTTTCCATCATGTCACATTGCATTGGTAACACCACCCTACAACCGGCAGTCCTTAGTTACCTGTTGCTACATTTAGAAACCCGTACTACGGTTAACTTGGATGCAGCTGTGCTGGCAAAGATGTTTAAGCTGCTAGAAAGAAAAGAAATACTGTCATAAGTGTTTCTACACTAAACCACTATCAGTTCAATCATACAATTTAAAGTAAGTTAAAAAAAACGTACTTCTAACCAGTATTAATAGCAACACAGATCTATGGGTAGACTGGGCTTGAGGTTTGACATGACAGGTGTTTGGGGGGGAAGGGGAAGCTGGTTCTTTGGTCTATACTCATCTTACTGTTGCCACTGCTGACTGAATCAACAGAAAATTACGGGAAGGGAAATGATGTTGTACAATAAAGAATCAAGAATTAATAAAATTCACAAGATCTATATTAGCTCTGTATTTAAACAATTTGCAAGGTAAGCATGCTGCGGTCAGAAGCATTCAAGGTCTCCAATACTGCACTTGCCAATCTCAAAGGTACTAGGCTAGGCAGTGGACATTTTGGGGAGTTTTTTTTCTGGCATAACAAATTTACCAAAGCACACACCACTGACATTTAACGCAGCTGAGCATACCCCAGCTTTCCCAACAGAGTCGTATCTAGTAAGATTCCTCTGCAAAGTGATTTCTGTTTGTTCCTTGTGTTCTTTCTGAACTGCTACCATATTCAGATCACATCAAGCCAACCATGCAAAGAACGTGATTAGCAGTAACTTGCTCTAGAAAGGGTGTCAGCCTTGAAGCCTTAGATGCACAGTAGTGTGGGCAAGATAAGAATCTCTGGAACCACATTTCGAAAGCAGCAAATGATTTTACCTATAGGAAGATTCCAAGACCTATGGCCATTTGGTTGTCGGTTCTTCTGTTGAACTGGTGGACAAGGAGGTGTCACACAAATCTGCCTCCAAGGACTGCAGAAGGACTACTATTTGCCATCCGTTCAAACAGCCACTGATGGCCATGGCAGTAAAATCCTATCCTGTCCTGTCCTCCTATTAGTCAGCATCTGGTTACTTAGGTGTCGCAACTGGTTTCTATTTTACATTTTGCTTGCTTCCATATGGGTACACCTTCAAATAAATTTCCTTGTGATCGTGTTTGCAAGATTGTACGAAGTGAACAACAGCAACAGTAACATTACTAAACAAACTGCAAAGTAAGCCAGAAAAAGGTTTTATTTTATTAGGAATGGTACATTTAAACACACGTAAGACTTTGGGATTAATTTACATATTTTTCCAAAAATGTTTCCCTTCTTTAACAATACAGAAGTTAAAAAAAAAAAATCTAATTCCAAATTATAAGAACGAACAGTATTTGCAGTGGAAATTTCTATTAATTAAAACAACTGTGCATTGAGAAGATTTAAAGAAATTACCCTCTTTACGCTTTAACATGATTAACTTTTCCTGTCACAACTGACTATACTTTTCCTGGGATTTTTTTGCTGCTGTCATTACTAAAATAACCTTCCTTTCCATCAAGACTATTGCTAGTCATACACATGTTATTCAGTATCATACTTTTGGGTATGAAAGCTATGTCACTTTTATAAACATCAAAAACATGGACATGCATATTGACATTTCTGTGCAGTTTTATGGAGTCACCTGTCAAATAAGGCCTCTACATACAATACCACATACTAGTGAATTACTGGAAAATTATTCTAATGGATTCCAAATAATCCTGACATCTGGATGGTACGTCTCATTTTAACAGGAACTTCCAGCTTTCATTACTGGTTAACATTGTATTGATTCACTGTCCAAATGAGCAATATTCAACTGACCAATGTGTATTCCTGAAAGTCTGTTGCAAATTAAGCATATTATCAAGGTCATTTAAAGCTGGAACTTAAACAGCCTGTTAAGCCAAGCAACGGGGGGAAAAAAGTGAACTCTAAACTAAATTCAGCTGGTCCATTCATTCTCACACAGAAAAGTAGCCCCAGCACCTTAAAGGAATAAAATCTATACTTCCTGTTCTCGGACTTAATACCAAGGACAAAAGCTAACATTGTATTTTGAAAGTCAAAGGCCTTGGAGGTGGAGCAGAAAGTGGGGGGCAAGAGAGGGAGAAAGCAGCATATTGTCTCATCCCATTACCTCAGCATTATGTGTACATAATATATCTATGATAGAAATGTTTACTAATAGCAGGGAAAAAAAATAAAAAAGACTTCCCACTCCAGACTTCACTGAAAGGAGAAAGCCGACAGCCCCTCCTCACAGAGATGGCCTATTTGATGACAGGCACTTTGGCAATGTAAGAGGAGGTTACCCTTTCATCACGTTAACTCTTCCCCTCCCGGTTCTCATATATAATTTGTCTCAAGTCTTCAAGAAACTTGAACCAAATTAAATGCATTAATACACCTCTAAGAGCAGGTTAACTACGGCTATGAGCAGAGCTCGACCTAGAACGAGATTTTCTTTTAGAAGAAGAGGGAGATGGGGAAGAAGCTAGCAAGCTGGAGCGGTGGCTTTTCTGAGAGTAACTCTTTTTAGGTGTACGACTGCGAGAACGAGACTGGGATCGAGAGCGGGACCGGGATCGAGAGCGGGACCTGGACCTGGACCTTGATCTTGACCTGGACCTGGACCGGCTGTCCGATCTGGAAGATCCTGTAGACCTGGACCTGCTGCGAGATCTTGAGTAACTCCTTGATCGAGATCTGCTTCTAGAGAAACAATTAAAAGCTGTAGTCTCACCTCCTACTAAATTTAAAATACTCAATTTAGATTCTCAACTACTTTGTATGCACAGCACAGAACATCTGAATGCACTAGGCACAGCATTCAGTTATTTCAGAGTGCTGCTAGATTTCTGTCATGCTCCATCACAACAATATCTTCTTAGGCGAAGGCTAGCCTTGACATTCTCTGCTAGCTTGGCAAAATACGAACTGCCTAATACAAGATGCCTGCCCCCGCTGGGAGGAGGGAGACAAATTTTTAGCCATTTATCAAGAAAAGTACAGAAATGAAAATTCATACCTGTGGTATTTATTCTCTCTAGAAAGGCCCATGTAAATTAGGGTTTCTTTCAAGACACTAAAAAAGTCTCTAAAGGCATGGAACACCAGCACACTTTAAGGCCTCAGAGTTTAACACCTTCTCTAGTTATGCGTCCCTTTTTTCATGAAAATAAATGGATTTATTTTTAAGAGAGACAATGAAAGAGCTGCAGCCAACATGTTTTTTTAATGACTAAATGGCAGAACTGCTTTGGGAATAATGCAAGCAAGCTAACTGTTTCTCTTTTATTCTCATGAAAAAGTTGGCTTTCACAACTATTTGAGAGACATTTCACAGGACTCTGAAGCAGCTTTCCATTAAATTAAAAGGCTTTTAATACCAAAATTCGTTTTTTTAAAAGTCCTTTCATTTAAATATCAAGTTTTATCTTTAAAAAAACCCCCACAACTCCTTACTCTCATCCAAAAGTGTTCTATTTACCCTGTTTTCAGCAAGTCAGTTCTTATCTAAATCTGTTTACACTGCTAGAAAGCGGTTCTGTGCGGTGATATTTAGCTTGGGGCCAAAGAATTAGATAATAAAACTTTGGCATCGATACTACCCAAATCCACGCCCTCAGCAGAATTTTATCAGGTCAGGTGACATACCTATGCCTTCTGTGATCTTCAGTCAGTTTAATTCTGCGTCCATTCAGCTCAGTGCCATCCAATTTTTCCAGTGCACTCTTCATATCACTATAAGATGCAAATTCCACAACCCTGTATACCATCAGGAAAAAAAAGTTTTAGAGAAACTGAAAAAGCAAGGAGAACAAGTTTGGGCTTTTTTCAATCTGGTGATTCACAGCTTGATGTTTTATCTTCTGAAAGCTAATTTTTAACTTGGTTAACAGGAAAATATGATACTAACAGTCCTAGCCATCCACACCTTCCACATCCTTTTAAACATTACCAGAACTCTCATCTGCAAAGACATGGAGAAAATCCAGGAAGCTGCACAAACCTGCACCAGCTGAGGAAGTATCTTTCAGTCCTCCACTAAATTGCATTCTAAAGCTGTCCAAGAAACAACATAAACTTGCAGACTTTCCTGCCCTATTTAGAGTTTTAACAGTGAATAGAAAAAATCCCCTTTGTTTTTTTAATTTGTTTTCCCCTCAAAAAAAGTCTAGAGTTGCATTTGCTCGCAATGGCCCTAGAGCACTGTTTTGCCAGCACAGACACTCTATTCATACTTCCCTCTCTCCTGCTTTGTCGTGCAGGACCTTTGTAGTCTGCAAAATTAAGAATGGAGAGCAGGCAGCTAGGTATCCGTAAGGAGATTGGTTATGTTCATTTCCTATGACTTTGACTGTTGAACCAGTGCAAAGCAGCCACAGACAGGAGGTATTTTAGCCTCAGGAGTCAGATCATAAATGATTATAAATAAATAACTTTAAGTTAAAGACAGCAGAACTCAACTGTTGAAAGGTATTCTCCCTTCCCTTTCTGCTTTGACACATTGTTTTCATAGTAGAGAGTAGAGACTGAGTTCAATACCACTTCTGAACTCCTACTTACTGACCGTTTGTGTTTTGGTGGGGGGTTTTGTTGGTTTTTTTTTTTTAAATTGGAGAAATGTCAGCATCTAAGCCACACCATAGATTTAGTTGGGTTTTTTTTATATATATATATATATATATAAAAATATACACGGCTAATAAAAATTTAATCCCCACATTGGTACAAT